ATTAAATTGTTCAGGCCTTTTCCCCGGGGCCAACGGTTTAATTCCCAGGCCTGTTTTCATTCCCGGCTTCACTCCTGGGACTGGTTTTTCTCTGTTTCACCAGTCCGCAATGCTAACTTGGGGCACGGCCACTGCCGCACTCACACCTTGGCCCTGGTTCAGCCCCGCTCCGAGAGCAGCTTCCTGAGCTGAGCGTCCTGCCAAGAGGGCCGTGCAGGCCCAGCGTGCTCAGCTCCCATGCTCGGCGGCCGCAGCCATTCCCGCACGACGGCCAGGAAACCCCAGCTCTCGTGGGCACAGACGTGCTCCAGGAAACTTCGTGGGCTCTTGGGCCTATGAACAAGCTGATGTGAAATAAAACGAAACAACAGAAAACTGAAAGGAAAAGCAATAAAGATAAATTACAGGGTTAGAAAGTTTAGTTATTCACGCTGAATAAAAGAAATGCTGAGTAAAAGACCTAACCATCCTCCACACGGCGGAGGGATTGAAAAATCCTTCTTAAAATCAAAGAGCAAGTGACTGGGGCCACTAAAGACGCAAGGAGACAAATGAGCTCGAGGAAACCCTGAGACTTCTACATCGGAAGCTCTGCCCGCCAGAGAGGGTCTGCCACCTCTGGAAGCATCTCAGCCACAGAACATGGAGACCGAAGTCGCGGCCCTCGACTGGCCCATGAGCAAAGGCTGAGGCTGCATGGGAGACTTCAAGAAAACCCACAGTGTTTCTGAAGTTCCCTCCAGCTCGAACAGTCCATGACTACAGAATTCTCGTTTCTTTGGAAAAAACTCAGAACAACTTCAACAAGGCACTGTGAAACAACAGGGCAGGGCAGGAATACATGGTGCTCAAAATCCTCCTGCAAAAACGATGGTTTCTGCCACGAGGCAGGACAATCAGGGACCTGGGAGGCAGGGTGAACAAACTCAAGGCGACAGAGACAGGTGAAAAACACGATTATTTAAACAGCTAAGAGATAAAAACAACACCCAAAAAGAAGGATTCCAAAGACATTTCCTTCTTCAGAATGGGCAGTACTGCTTATTAAGTGATTTGTTCCTGCTTGGCTGTGTCATCAAGCGTGGTCCAGCTGCTTTTCATGACTAGTCCGTTTCAGTCATCTCACTTTCTCCCACGTAAGATCAAATCAGCCTTTCAATGACCTATTTCATGAGTCATAATTTTTCTGTTTATGATTCAGAAAAATGTCTTCAGTCAGGACTTCCCAGACTGCTGTGGGTTTATTCCAAGAACCAATTTCATCTCCATTGGTTTCCTACAGGAAACCAGACCAACTTCCTATTATTTTATTTTCCTTACTTTTAGCATACCATAGCCCACAGCAAATTAACTGCAAGTAAGAGTGATAGAAGACTTTCTCCCTGACAGAGAAGCCAACACAAACAATGTCCAGTCCACAAGTCACAGATTCACAACTGAATGCAAAATGTGCTAATATTAGAACCATTTGTCAAACAAAGCACCAAAGTGTAAGAATTTAATTCATCTTCATTGCAAGCATTCCACTGTCAGAAAGAACTCCTTCCTTGGAGAAGGAAAGAAAAAAATCTATTGTCTACAAATACAATAAATGCCACAAAGTTGCTTGTTACAAAAAAAGTTAACTAGAAAGAATAAAATGTTTCCGAAACTAATACTCTTAACAAGCTGCTGGGAATGAGGCAAACAACTGGAACCAAAATGCTGACCCTTGGAAGGGTCAGAGAACAAGGGGCGGGCCAGCCATCATCACAGCCCCCTTCCCACAGCCACTGCTCCCATGACTAAGCATTTGTCTTTCCTTAGACAAGCATAAATAGTGGTGTAAAACACGGGGTTTGAAAAGGAACACTACAAATGGCTTTTACTCACACTGTTTGTCTAGAATGCAACGAGTATCCAGGACATTTTTATTCTCAGACTACCCATTACTTGGAAAGAGAGAGAGAGAGAGAGAGAGAGAGAGAGAAAGAGAGAATGGGAAGTACTTTGGGGCAAACAAGCATATACCCAATTCTCTTCAGATGTCTTCCACTCTCATCAGTCCTAGCTGTACATGTCGTTTTCCAAAAGTTCACCTAGCCATTAAACAGCAAATAACTGGGCTATTTCAGATCAAGCCCTAAAGTTGATATTTTGAAGAAAGAAGCTCTGAAAAGAATGCAGTTAAGGGACAAATCTTGAACATGTGAACCAATTCATAAAATCGAAAAGACTGAAGCCTTGGTTCTCAAAGAAGAGTCCCTGGGCCAGAGGCATCGCTGCCTGGACACACTGCAGCTCTGGAAGCCTAGGACCCCAGCCTGGACTCCAGGACCAGCCAGCAGCAAGTGAAGCCCACCACAGCTTCATCCACTGTGCCTCCTCATCCTGCTGGCGAACCCTGCATCCACATTGCCCTGAGGCCTCCTGACTTCTAAGCCCTCTCCACTCTCTCTCCTTCCATCCCAGCACTAACGTGCTCTCTCGGAAGGCTGCACCGTATCTCTAGCCCAACCACCGATGCCTGTGACCTTGGCCTGGCCCCAGGTTCATGCCTTCCTGCCTGAAATGGCCTCACCTCTAGACCTTCAGGACACACTTCCACCCGCCACCACTCCATCTCCCGTGTTCTTGCCATCGGCCCTGCTCTGCCTCGTACCACCCTCTGGACACAGGCATGTCTCAGGAGTTCACCCCGCAGGCGTTTACTCCTCCTTCTCCAGCTGCTACTTGGCATTCCAAGGACTCCAAGAGGTGAGGTTACACCTCTGTACCCCAAATCGCTCTCAAACTTCACAGTGTATTTTAACCTACCTCATGACTGGCATTGTCTGAATGCCCCAGTATGACAATAAATGATGTTCCCTTCACCCTGCTGCCCACAGTCCCTCTTCAGACTCTGTACCTGCCAGCACTGGTCCCCAATGCAGGGAGCACTGACTCGGCTAGAGCACCACCCTGGTAACCACGTGAGTGCATATGAAGTCAGCTACACCAGGCACCAGCTCTGGCTTCCTCGCCCCTCCCCTCCCACTGTTCCCGACACCACCATCCTCATCCAACAGCTCCCTATCTCTTCCAAGCCCTGTCTGCAGCTCACTTCTGAATCCACTCCTCTCCCATTCAAGCTCTGGAGCAGCCGCCCAGATGCAGCCCAGCTGCTGGCCTAGCTTCCCCTGCCACGTCTCCTTGACTTCTTTCAGACAGTCCAGAAGGCTCCTCATGCTGCAAACACATCCCAGGTTCTCCCACAACCTGTTCTTACCTTCAGCTTACCACCTCTACCTTAAACACCAATTCCTCACTAAGTCTGTCAAGGTCTTCCTTATAACCCAGGACCAGGGCCAACGTCAATTTCTCGTGGAAACCTCCCAGACCTCCTGACACAGAAGTTCTCTCTCACTCTCCCCTAAAGACTCAAACGCATCCACAGCAGCCACACACTGCCATGCTAATGCTGACCTCCCCCATGGCAGAAGCGCAGTTCACACACCTGTTCGTCCTCCACCGTACCATGCGTGATAACCTTGTAAGAGGCATGCACTCAGTAAATATTTATCCAAGGATTAAAGGACCTGCAAACCCAAATTCTTACATGAGCATCATTTCTGCCTATTAACTGTCCTGCAGGAAACCTAGCCAAAACACAATTAAAACAGATACACTTTACAAAACATATCAACTTACAAGGAGTCAACTCAAGCACCTACACTTTCTACTACTTCCAATACTCACTATTCCATTACGTGCTCTCTAGTCTCACTGCAGCTGAGAAGAAATGTAGCATATTTCTGGATCACAAATATGTTTTGGAGAAAGGAAAGACCCGCCCATTTAAAACTAAAGCGAAAGGGGAAGCCCTCCTATTAATAAGCCTTTATAAAATGCACGGCATCTTCCTGCCATGCCAGTTTATAGCTGCTGGAGGTGATAAACTCTCTGTGATCACAAAGGAAACTTCTTAATCTTAAGGAAATTGAGTAACAGAGCGTTCTTTACAAAACACATTCTGTTTTGTCTGGAAGACACCCTCGCAGCTGGCCAGGAAGGTCAGGAAGCAGCCCAGTGAATCATGATGGGGAAGATGGGCTGACCGCCTCACCTAGGGAATAAAGAGGTGTGCACTGCTGGGATGAGAAGTGGGCCACGGCCATGCCACAGCGAAGAGGACAGGCCATCTCAAGCACACCCCGCAGAGCAGACCCTCGCCCCCCGGAGAACACTGAGTCCTCCTCCAACCCGGAGACCGTGGCACTGCTCACACGCTGGCTTTTACGTAGAAATACACAAGAAAATCCCTACGGACTAAGAAAGGCATATGCATATATTTAAATCTGCTATCAATTACAGCAGAGACCCTCTCACACCATGTCTCGTCTCACTGTGTCTATCTAGTAACTTGTTTAAATCAGCAGGTCTATAGAAAGGCACACACACACACACACACACACGCTGAATTGTAGGAAATAGTTTTTTAAATAAAACTGCTCTATTGTTCACAACAAATACTTTTGATAGAGACTTCTAAAAAAATTGTTTTGCTTTTCAAACTCAGTTATTTGCTCTTATTACTATCATTATTGACTAAGTATCTAAACAGAACTCATTACTCCCCTGGCTTCAGACTTCACTCATTCATGTGACCAGGAGGAGACAGTATTACTATTGGGTCCCCCCAAAATACTCTCACACTCCAAATTAATACTAAAATAGAAATACTACTGAGTTAGCGCTTCCAGCATTTTACCGCACTTTGTTCATAATATGATTTGAAATGGCAATCAGGTTAATGTCTACAAGGAACAACCCAAAATATCGAACACCACTAGTTTAGTGTCGTAGCAGGATTTTTACCACCCTGTTCAAGAACAGAGCATACACTTGGAAATCTATCAGTATTTCTATTAGGATTAATACCAAAACCAAGAGTGAAGATCAAACTTGAAGAGCGCCACTAGTGGTTGCAAACACGGACCATGGCCCCGGCCATCCCAGGGACCCGTGCGTGGAAGGCTTACTTTGACGTGGCTCTGGGCTCCCAGGTTGTAGATCTCTGTGGGTTTTACTTCATTAATGATCTTCACCAGGCAGGTGCTGTCAGTGAGGTCGCCGTAGTACAGCTTCATGTCTTCAGAAGGGAAACATACCATTACATGGAAGAAACACACATGAGCTCAACTTACAGAAAACAATCTAATTTCAAACCAGGGTCAAAACGGAAATGACTCAGAGGAAGCAAAGGACAAGGGTCACCATCAACGGACCACAGAAGGGGGTCAGGGCTGGGGCAGAGCGAGTGAAGCTGTCACCTGTGACAAGCGGCATCCCACACAGGAGCACCGGTTCAAGTACTGGCCGCTCCACTTCTCCTCTGGCTCCCTGCGAACGCAACTGGCAAAACACGGGAGGGTGGCCCCCCGGACCTGTGCCACTTAAGTGGGGGACCAGCATGGAGGCACGGCAGGCTTCCGGCTTCAGCCTGGCCATGGCAGCCATTTAGGAAGTGAACCAGTGGACAGAAGATGTGTCACCCTTCTCTGCTCTAACTCTGCATCTTAAATAAATAACTCTTTTTAAAAAGAACCAATATAGTAAAAAAAAAATTGCATAAGTTATGTACATCTATAATAATTTGTAATACTAATGCAGATGAACTTTTAAAAATCTTAACATGATGACAGATGTTATATAATTAACACAGGTTAGGGCTCTGGGGTGTAGGCTGTGTTAAAGAGAGACTGAAAAAAAGAGAGAAAAGCAAAGCTTGTAATAATGTGTGTACTTCTGCAGACATTTTATTTTTACAATACCGATAACTGGACCAAATGTAGAAGGCAAAGTGGAGACCCATTTTTACTTGAGGGGACAGGGACACGTGGTGGGGGGGGGGTGATCAAAGGCAGGACTTCCCTTGGTCTGAGTGGTCTACCCAATAACCTGCTGACAGCCAACCCAGGATGACCACAATGTGGGTTTTCAAAGCACGCAGGCCATAAGCCCTATAGTAATTCATGGGTAAGGCATTGGGACTTAAAAAACTTTGGGGAAAAATGACTTCGAAAACATCTTATCTGAGGACAGGAACTACAGAAAGAGAGGTTAGAAAACGACTCACTTCCTTCAGTGTGAGCCTGGGGGTTCTTGTACAGATGCTCGATTCGGCCTGTATTGAAGGAGCTGGATCGCCGGACGATTCCGTGGACCTAAATTGTTGCCACGTGCAAAGACAAAAGGAAATCATAAACGTGCAATGAGGATTCGAAGGAAACCTCACAATTTCTTCTGCTAATGTCCAGGTATATACAAGAATATGTATAGTTTGCAAACATTCTTTTTTATCAGATATAGCTCAACGCATAGTTCCTGTTCAGTCCTAGCTCACCAGCTGCCATCATCTCGCTCTGCCTTTTTCTTGTAGCCCTTCTCCACAAAAGGAACTAGTAAATGAGGTGACTTGGTGTTGGGTTCAGATACTCCAATGTCTGCATCTCCAAACGCACACACGTACATCCCTCCGCCTGCAGACAGACCAGGCGGATGCCTCAGTGCAGCCGCCTGCAGACCTGATTAGCACCAGGCCCAGGGCAGCCACTTCTTCCCACATGCTCAGGGCTCATGCCCACCGCATCTGGTCAGTGTGATTCCCGGGCTCAGGCACAATCAGAGGGTGTAAAAGCTGGCAAGCTCGGCAGCACTGGGTTAGGGACAAGACTTACTCATACTGCTGGGTATCAGACGTGAAGAAAACTTAGATGAAGAAAGAAATTCTTTTCTTTAAATCTGACTTGAGCACGATTAAGTGTGATGGAGAAAAAGTGGTTGGAGCAGGAATGCATACCTGTCTGACACTGAAGAAAGGACTATTTGTGTGCGATACATAAAGGAAATTGTCGCAGACCTAGTCCCACTTCCTTGTGTCAAAACTGCTCCCTCTCTGCTGCCAAGGCACACGTCAGCCTATGTCACCGGCCGCCCAAGTTCCAGTTCGACTGGTGGCAGTTTTAATCCCTGACTTATTTCAGACATTTTCCTTCTAAGGTTGGGTAGGCTCATTTGCAGCTGAATACACTTCCATATTTAAACTCAATCATTTTCTGTCTATTTCAAACCAAATTAATCCTTGGCATGACTCAACTATTCCAAATGCAAGGGGGAAATTACAAGCACACAAGACCTTCTTTCAAACAGAAACAAATGTCACCGTCATTTTCTGTGGCGTACATGAGAAACGGACTTCTGCAAAGGATACAGCACAGCCGCAATCAACGCCTCTGCTGGTCAGCTGTGTTAGCCAGAGACAAAAGCACTCATCAACCCTACTTTCCAAAGAACTCAACCCAAGAAAAGCTGGCAAATACCAAAGTATTTTAAGAAGGGAATACTGTAAACTTGCCTGACATTTTAGGAGGCTAATATTAAAATCTTGGAAACATTAAATTGAAATTTGACTCTCTATATACCCATTTCTTAATTTAGAAATGGAGAAAACAACACTAATAGGAAGGTCAGAACGCATTTTGCTTTATGGGCTCCAATTTCCCAGGTTCGCTACTTAATTACCAAGTAAAACTTCTCTACGAATTTAGTAACTCTTCATGCAGAAGAAAAATTCCACATATATAAGCATAACACAACTGTGTGCCACTTAAATTATATCTGAAATACAGATTTTTCAGATGTACATGTTCTGTTTTACTGGACAGACTGTTCTAAAGAAATAATCTAACCTTGATGGTGAAAAGAATCATATTGCTAGTATTTAATCTATCTTCTTCTGATTGGGAATTCACATATTCCAATAGGCAAAAACAGAAAAGCTGGGTGTTTGGCACAGCGGTTAAGGTACCCATATCCCCAAGTCAGCTTGCCCGAGTTCAGTTCTCAGCTCTGCTTCCCACCAAAGCAGACCGTGGCACACGGCATGTGATGCCTTCAGCAGCTGGGGCGCTGCCAACTACGTGGGCGAGCTGGACTAGTTCTTGTCTCCTGGCTCAGTCCCCAGCTGTTACTGGCATTTGAAGAGTGAATCAGAAGATAAGAGCTCTCTCACTTTCTATCATTCCAAAAAAAAAAAGAGCAACGAGAGAAAAGCCATGTCAGGGTACGTGTATATAAGTTATAAAAATGGAGAGACACATCATTATATCAGAATTCTATGAACCACATTGAATCTTGTGTATTATCACATTAACATGAGAATTGCATTGCAATTACTAGGTTTTCGCTGTGATACTTAGAATCTAATGCATAAATAAATTCCTTAAATAAAAGATGAACCTGGAACAAAAATTAAATCTTAAAGTAATAATGGTTTTGATCAAAAAATATCAAGTGGTGTTGAGGAACTCAGTGTGAAAAGCAAAGCTCACAGCGAATCAACAGCACAGGACCTAAACGCCACACTTATAAACCAACAGCAGGAAGCGCTGGGCTTGTGTCTAATTCCTCCTCACTCCCAATGTCTGGTATGTTTGCGCAGGGCAACCAAGAGCGCCGAGCAGAATCCATGAGAGCAGGTACAGTTTAACAGTTAAGGAAAGCCGCTCTGTTTCTGAGGCAGGTGAAATACAAACTTTCAGACATGCCGAAGTGTGCGCAAAGTGCATAAACTAGCTGAGAATGTGAGATTGGCAGCCTTCTCTTTATAGAAGGGATGCAGGCAGAGCGTTTTGTCCGTAGAAGGACTCTTAGAGCAAAAGGAGGGGGCGGGAATCAGGCTGAGAAGACCAATGAGCTAAATCTGACGTAATGCAAATGTAATCAAAATTATTAACAAATTATACTATAGTCCAAAAACAAAATACAATTCTGAAAAGTCAAGGCCTTAGAATACACGGAAATGGGTGCTGTAATGAACAAATTCCATGTCTTATTTAACTAGGTGATGAAAAGAAAACATTCTCTCAGCATCAGAGCAAAGTTGGTTTCACTTCAAAATCTGAACTCTGTTTCTGCAACGCAACAGAGGAATGTTTTAGCTCTTATTAAAATTGGGATAAAAAAGAAAATTACTAATACTGATTTCAAAGTCCTTAATGTCAGCATTTCTCTTGTAGGCAACAATGTCTTCCAGGAACAGTTAATGCCACTTACCTCCTGCAAAGCAAAGATTGTTTAAGTAATACCAATAGCTAACACCTAAGCACCAATGACAAAGTGCCAGCTGCCGTGTTTAACGGGTATTAAATCTTCACAACAATATTATTACTCCTACTACGCAGAGGAGGGCACTGCTTAATCACACAGCTCGGAAGTTGGGGTGATAAGCAGTAACATGGCCAGTGCTGCAGACATTTGGTGTGCTGCAAAAATGAAACCCAGAAGAGCATCTTGACCTTTGGCAAATCAGAGCACCCAGACTTGTGGGATTAAGCCACAGACACCCAGAACAAAAGGTATTTCAAGAATCCTCACAGATTAACAAAACAGTATTGCAGCTCCCTGACCACAGTGGGAAACTTGTATTTCATAGCTACCCAAAAGAGGTGGGCATAGCTCCTTCCCAGAGAGGAGGCCACAATTTACTGTGTGTTTGTATAAGCTTGAATTTTAAAAATTTATTTAAAAGGCAGAGAGACAGATGGCATCCCCCATCCTGGCCTCCCATTTGCTGATTCACTACCCAAATGTCTATACGTAGGGCATGACTGGCACTCGCCAAAGCAGGGCAGAGATCATGATCCAGGTTTCCTACGATGGTAAAAGACCCAACTACATCACCGGCAGGAGGCTAAATCAGGAGCAGGACAAAAAATGGAACCCAGGTTCTCCCGAACCAATGCCAGTGTTTTAACTGGCATCATAACCACTGGAAGAAACAACTGTCCCCACTGACCTTTTTCATTTTAAATTCTGATATGCTTACAGCTGTTCCTAAATCATTTCATGTATTTGTTGGTACACTCGCAGATAAATCTGAATCTTAAAGGGTTCAACTCTACCTTGCCTTGATTTTCCTCTGCTTCACTTCTGACCCAGCTTCCTGACAATGGCCGCGAAAAGAAACAGAAGATGGCCAGGGTGTTTGGGCCCCTGCCACCTACATGGGAGACCCAGATGAAGCCCCTGGCTCCTGGCTGTAGCCCGGCCCACCCCCGGCAACTGCCGCCATTTAGAGAGTGAGTCACCAGATGCAAGATCCCCTTCTCTCTCTGTCTGTTCCTTTCTGTAACTCTGCCTTTCGAATAAATCAATAAATCTTTTTTTTTTGAAGTATAACTTTAAACAGAGGGTCTCTGTCATGAGATATGGCCCAGGATAAAGTAATCCTCTACGTTTTCACTTCAAAAGATCGGAACATGATCAGATTCATAAATTTCAGTGGCTGCATTAGATGGCCAGGCCCTACAGCTTCAGGAATGACACAAGGTAATCAGCCATAACTAATCAGGCTGAGTGTGCACTACTCCTTCTCAAGTCACTTGTAAATCCTTATGTTGCCTGAAGGTAAGCCAACCACGCTGCTTCTACTTTGCCGGTTTTTGGGTGTTTTTTTTTTTTGTTTTGTTTTGTCTTTTTATGCTAGAGAAAAATAAAGGTGTCTAGTTAACCGTGCTGCGCTGATTCCCGATTCCCTCCGAGGGATCTGGTTGCGTCCGTGCCACCCTCAGGATGCCAGCAACCCACCTCTGCTGCTTCTCCAGACACTGGGAACTTCCCTGGCATCACGGCCAAGGCTGACCTTGCCGCTGAGAGCCACTTTCTTTTCCAGGAAGGACAACTCTGCCTCAGTAACAAAGCTGCTCCATTTACCCGTGACTTATGCTTCGTTGCCCCAGCTGTGCCGTTTCCAGCTGTTTCTGAATTTCATGATACCAAAGAACAGATTCAAAATGGTAACATAGCTGAGAGAAGCAAGGCCCACAAACTGAACCTATCTGGGGCCACTCTGCTCACCCTCAGCGGTGTGACTCAGTCACTCTCCCTTGAGGCTGTGATAACCAGGATTCTCTTTCTGTGCCATCCAGGCGAGCAGCACCCCATGCCCAGGGCAGGGTCAGAGAGGACGGCCCTGACCCAGCCTGGGCTGTTGCAGGGCCTCACGGTGATGCTGATCCACATGCACAAGGTGGAGTACCTGCTGAGTGAGGAGTCTGTGGTCCCTGGGCTCAGAGGGACAGACATGCCTCCCATGCGTCCTCCTGCCAGCAGTCCACTAACTGTTCTTTTGTTCACAGTTTTGAGTGACCAGCTACTGTGACTAATAACTCTAGAAATGTCCCCAATTTGAAAAATCACTGTGACATTTACTTTCAGTTAGGCACAAGATAAATCCTTCATGACCACCGAATCTCCCTCAGTAGCTTATTCCCAGTTTACACCAATTCCTATAACTAGGGATGCAAACACATAAAAATTGAACACACGGGCCCGGCGCAGTGGCGCAGTGGTTAAGGTCCTCGCCTTGCACGCCCGGGATCCCATATGGGCGCCGGTTCTATCCCGGCAGCCCCGCTTCCCTTCCAGCTCCCTGCCTGTGGCCCGGGAAAGCAGTCGAGGACAGCCCAAAGCTTTGGGACCCTGCACCCGCGTGGGAGACCCGGAAGAGGCTCCTGGCTTCGGATTGGCATAGTATCAGCCGCTGTGCTCACTTAGGGAGTGAATCATCGGACGGAAGATCTTCCTCTCTGTCTCTCCTCTCTGTATATCCGCCTTTCCAATGAAAAATAATAAAAATAAATCTTAAAAAAAAAAAAAATTGAGCACACTACAGACAGACATCCTTATTTCAGAGAGTTGATGCTTTTTTCTCTGTTAATGGATCCAATTCCCAAACCTAATTTCTCTGGCCAATCCTTGTGCCAATGATAAATTCCTTCCATTACCTGTGACCTGCAAGGTGAGTCTTCTATCATCTTTCTACAGCAGAATAAAATCTCTCTAATTTCTTGCTTTGAAGGATGAATTTATGCATTTATTTGAAAAGAAGAGATACAGGGGGAGGGAGATTACACACAGCAAGCTCTTCCATCTCCTGGTTCAAATGGTCACCATGACAGTGACAGGCCAAAGCCAGAAGCTTCATCCAGGTATCCCACATGAGTAACAAGGACCCAAGTACCTGGACCGTCTTCTGCTGCTTTCCCAACACACTGACAGGGAGCTAGATTTGAAGTGGAACAGCCAGGACTTTACCAGCTGCCTATACGGGGTACCAGTGTCACAGGTAGTGCCCTAACACCAACCTCCCCTTATCATTTCAATGCCAGTGGCAGAGAAACCTCTGCTGCTCATCAGCAGTCCCAGGTTTTCATTGCACCTGTTACAACACTTTCATTCCACCATCTTCTTCAGACTACTAGCTCTATAAGACACTTACACGGGACATTCCCCCAGGAGCAGAAATAGCACTGTCTGCTGCTGTCCCTCCTACTTGGACACGGTTGCTACCTATACCTCCACACTAGGTCAAGGCTCTTCACCGTCCACCTGCTGTCACAGCACACGGCCATCTCCCCTGACTGTGGGACTAGATACAGACACCGCTTGCTGCCTCCAACTTGGTCTGCAGTCATCATCTCTCCCACCCACTCCAAAGCACATCGCAACACTCACCTTATCTGAGCTTCCTGCCTCTTCAAAACAGGATCAGCTACTGCTCAGCTACCACCTTCTCCTGACGCATGCCAGACCTAAGCACATTACTAGCCACCAAACGTTACAGTCCCACACATCTGAAAGGATGCACAAGCATCTCTCCACCCACCCATTCTTACGGTTATAAACCAGTCCTTCTGTCCTGTTTCCAATGTGCTCTAGAACCCTCAGCTCTGCAGGCTGTGTATGTACCACTCCATCATGACAACAGACATCTGTCCAGCTCTGTAGAACCTCACACAAAGTCAGGGCTGAAAAGGTGCTGGACCGAGTTTTTGCAGCTTCTCAAAACTTAAAGGTCAACACTCTGAAAAAATTCATCTCCTTTTCTCTAACTCTTGTTGGCACTGAGATACCAAATACCTTACTGTTGCGCTTCCAGTTGTCCTACCTGAGCACTGTTCGCACAACTGGAATAAACAAACAATCCAAAATTATCAATGGAACCATTCTCAAAGCAGGTCAGAGCACATGGACCCTGGTGTCGAGGCATGAATTTATACATTTATAGCTGAAAAATATACATACCAAACAGTAAGGTGTGAAGTCGCCACCGTGGCAAGGTGGGTTAAGCTAATACTGCCTGCAATGCTTGCAACCCATGTAAGACTACGAAAAGCCATAGCTACACCACTGCTGATCCAGCTCCCTGCCAATGAGCCTGGGAGAAGAGCAGAAGATGGCCAACATGACCAGGTCCCTGCTGCCCAAGCGGGAGACTAGAACTGAGTTCTGGCTCCTGGCATTGCCCTTGGTTGAGTCATTACAGCCATTACAGTCACTTGAGGAGACAATGAGCACATGGAAGTTTCTCTCTCTTTCTCAACTCTTGCAAATAAACACATCTTTTAAAAAAAGAAGTAAGGGGTACACACCGAACTACATCTAGTGTCATAAATATAGCCCTTCTTTCAAGGAAAGAGAAGATGCTGAAGAAGAAGAGGAGAAAATGACAACAGCAGCAGCAACAGTAAAACTACGAGCTTCATCTCCCATAAAATACAAGACTGCTTATTAGAAAGCAAAAACCTGCAGGTGTAAATTTTTCATTCAAGCTTGCCAAAGATCAGCTTGGTTTTTTATTGCTGTGTGCAATTTCCGAATTGGGTGACTTCACTGTGAGTGGGACTTTTTTATATAACACATTACATCATAAATTAACTCTAATAATGTTACAGCTTGGGCTTGCACCGGCTGCTTTCTCGGAGACTACAGAGTGTGGACAAGGCGGCTGAGCCCCAGGAATGGGGAGCCCTCCCTCTCTCCCCCCGCCCGGCAGCAGATAAACAGCACAATGAGCCAGCAGGGTCACCAGCTTTCCCAGATGCTGGGCTGTTATCAGAGTTTCCATGGAAGATGTATAAAGAAGTACCCAGCAGAGGAAGCTCGGGCCTCTGCTTCCGAGTGATTCCCACCTCTGCTTTCCCACTGAGTCACTCACCTCGTAGCCCTTCTCCAGCAGGAACTCGGCCAAGTACGAGCCATCCTGGGAAGAGAAAAAAAAAAAGTTTGAACAATGTCAGATCCCTTGTGACTGATAAAGACTGGCCTAAGCTATAAGTTTTGAGAAAAGCACTTAAACGACTACATAAAGGGTGAGCATTTGGTGATTAAGATGCTGTTTGGGATATCCAAGGCCAGTCAGTTCCTGGCTCCTCTCCTGGCTCCAGCCTATTGCTGCTGTGCATCCAGGCAGGCAGCAGGTTGCTGGGCTCCTGCCACACAGGTGGGGGACCCTGGGCTGCAGCCTGGCCCAGCCCTGGCTGCTGGAGGAAATGTGGGAAGTCAAACAGCAGGTGGAACAAATAAAGTCACAGAAAATTAAAGTGAGGCCCATGGCAACCAGAAGAAACACCAGTAATGACGATAAGCACAGCCTGACACGGCACTATCCATGCAGTGTCCCGCTGCAGGCCTACGGAAGACAAAGAAGAACCTGCAAATACAGGGGAATGGCATGAGACGATGCCACTCCTGGGTTCAGTGGAAATTTTGCTAACCACGGGGGCTGGGAGAGCAGTCATGAAAAGGCAGTCTCTGGGGAGACGAGATGGGAGTTGGGGGAACCAGGAGGTGTCAGCATTACTGAAAGACTCGGGGGTGAAGGCCAGGGGCAGAGGGGGAAAGCAGCGGCACCTGGGAAGACAGTGGAGAACAGCTCAGCTGCTTGGGCCCCGTCATCCACCTGCATGAGAGACCAGGAGAGAGTCCCAGGCGGCTGGCACCACCCAGGGTAAACCAGTGGATAAAAGTTCATGCATGCTCCTTCTGCTTCCCTTTCTCTCTCTCTTTCCCTTTAAAACAAAAGTAAATAGTAACAACAAAAAAGTAATTGTGGGATGCTTGAGTTTTCTTTGGTTCCTTTAGTTTGAAAAATTTTAAATATTCCTTTAAACATCAAAAGCTCCTACCAGATATTCCAGGAAAAAGAAAGCCTGAGCAAGCCTTACTGGTAACATGGTTCAACCCAAAGCTGGAGCTGCAGACACCGCTCAGGCTCCTGCCAACGACAGGGCTGCCGAGCGGTGTTTACTGCATGAATGCAGAAGGCGTTCATAAATCCAGGCGGGTGACAAGGTGAGGCGTACAAGGGACACATTTTGTGGTTCATTAAAACCTCCAGCAGATTTTCTTCTGACTTCTTGACATAAATATTCGGGCTTATTGACTCTCATGTGGAGAAGAGGAGAAAGGGTTTGATATATTCCTTTTCATTCCAATCTCAAAATTTGCTTTTTGCATTCCCCATATGCAGATTAAAGCTCACTGGGAAGCTGACCAGTTTAGACCAGGACAAGCCAGGCTGACACACATGGTCATTAGAAATGTTAGTATAATCAGAAATCTTGTAAATCAATCACTGAGAGATGGCTTACCAGAAACATATTTGCAATAAAAAATAACAGTCTGACTGTAGGTTGGGAAGCCCTGGAAAGTGTAAGGTTTTGTTGCATGGCTGTTCTGAAGCGCCCAAGTGGTACACTTTTCACATTTTATAATTCTTCTGGAATAAAAAGTTCAAATATCCTGTGCGCTACCCTAGTTACACAGAACGGCTGAAAAAAGAACAAAAAGGAGGAGGGGCGGCAGGAGGCAGAGGTGACCGTGCTGGGGTCCCTGGAGTGGGGAGAGCCGTGATTATGTAGAAAGCTGATGTGAAACAGACCTGACCAGAACTGAACCCTGTCAATAAGGTCTTGTTCTTCTCACCCAGGCCACTTCTCAAACTTTCCAACCACACTGGAACATTCTGAACCAGCAGTGGCACTCGCTTCCTCCTCGCTTCCTTGCCAGGCCTCGCGAGTGATAGGGCCCAGGCTGCACAATGAGTGGGAAGGGAGCCCAGTGAGGGCTGCCGGGCTGTGGCCCCGGGGAACCCAGCTGGCCTCCCCCCACTCAGCCCAGGGAGCCACCGTATCTGAGCGAGCAGACGTCCACCAGGCCACAGGGACGCTCACTTCCACCCCCTGGAGCAGAGGCTGACAGAAACCGTTCCAGCCAGCCCCAGGACTGAAACGGCAGTGTCCGAGCACCAGCACCAGGCATCAAGGCCTCGCCCTTGACTCCTCTGGAACTCAGGCACAGACGGACTGAATCGCCCACTAGGAACACGATCAACCTGGCATACACCCCAGCCATGGCTTCAATCCTTGTCACAGAAAGCGTTTTAACTGGAGAGATAGTATCCCAACAGTGAGACTTTGAAATCTGATTTTCCATAAGGCTATTAAGGGTATCTGTTTCACACTGAATGTCACACTGTTTTACGCAATTGCCATGGCTTTAACATTTTCAAGACGCATAAGCATTTTCCAGTTTATTCTTCTAAGAAATGACTTAGGAAGACACAGCAGCCACTTGGCATCTTGGGGGTCAACAAAACACTAGGTAGAGAGGACCCCAGCCCTTGAACCCAGGTCATCCATTCTTCCCAACTAGGAAAGGGTTCTCCTTCCACACTTTGCTCCACATAAACATGTTAAAACCTAATGAATAATAAAATATTATTTTCAAACCGACTTGATTTAGTCACTTTCCATTATGGGGTGTTTTATGGATTATCCCATGCTTCCAATTTTAATCAAGTGACCCAAACCCAGAGAAGTCATGTAACGTTAGAACTCTCCAGAGTGAGAGGAGCGAGCAGGCTCTGGTGGCTGAGATTTCCCAGGTCCAGGTCTGGATGCGTGCACTGGGCCTGAGGTGGAGCAGTGTGGTTTGCGGGGAGCCTCGGCTCGCAGGTGGACGGGTGTCGGGCTGTGCAGCCGAGAAGCCAGGCCCTGCCCAGGATCCAACAGGGAAAGCCTTGGAATACCTGACGCCTGTCTCGTTATTCAGGAAGTGAGGGACCTCTCACTTTTCGTGGAGCACTCAGAAATGTCCCAGCTTCACAATAAAAATGAAGCACAGTTCCACAGACAGACTCCTCTCTACAGACATAGATCACTGGAGATCCGCCCACAAGACACCGCTTTGCCACCAACCTAACCTATCCAATGCCCATCCAGACACGCATGCACCAGGCAGTCACCTCCTGGAGTACAGCAGACAGAGCTGTTTGTTTTCTCTCTTCCAACATGGATGTGCTCACAGCCCAGATGGACAAACAAAAAAGGGACCTTTCTTACGTGCAACTTGAGAACCTGGCCCCTCTGAACTGCAGGCTAAATCGCATTGTATGTTTCTGCTTAAGCACTGTTTGGCAGCTTCTGTGAACAGGATAAGATAAGTATTACTGGGCTAACGAAACCCTGCCACTAATAAAATGGGTCTCTTTGTCTACACCACCTCAGCCTCTGGCAGCAGAGCACATTTCTGCAAGGGAAAGCTCTGCTTTGCTCTGTCTTTCAAGCTCTTTCACTGCACAATTTCGAATGACTCTTCAGAAAAGGCATCTTTCAACTACGCGCATTACAATAGGAAGATAATCCTCCTGCAGGACAAACGCCTCAGAGATGGCAGAGCATGCTGTTTTGTATCAGACCACAAACATCCACTCGCTGAACCATGGTGGTAAGATAACCAAAGACAGCCTGTGTCAGCGTGCTATTTACACCTGGCTCTTCCTATCACAAATCGCTGGGGATTCAAGAGACCCTGGGGATTAATTAATCAATGCTCTCATTTTACAGTTCAGGAAATTGAGACTCAAACAGTTGAAATGGTTAGCAGGTACAGTTACATAGATGCGAAGCAGCCCAACCTCCACCCCACCCCAAAACAAAACAAAATAAATTTCTAGACTTCCAGACTTCAGAATTTTATACTAAAGGAAAAATTATTAAACTGACACCTAAAACGAAGGAACTAGATTAAAACTATGGAGAACCAAGCAAAAGGCATGGATGTGTCAGCTAAGAGCAGGAGCTATGGACTGGAAGAGAAGTAGCCCACTGAAAGGAAACGAAGACATCAACAAAGCATCGAACATGCAACTACTGCCCAACTTCGATGTTGACAATCACTCCCCAGCTGCTGCCTGGACTGACCCTGTGGCACAGCAAGAGAAGCTGCCCGACAGCACCATCATTCGACAGAGTTTAGATCCAGCTGCTCCACTTCCAATCCATGGCCCTGCTGAGGTGCCTGGAAAACAGCAGAAAATGGCCCAAGCACCTGGGCCCCTGTGCCCACATCAGAGAGCCGGCCGAAGTTCCTGGCTCCTGGCTCCGACCCAGGCTAGCCTGAGCCATTGCAGCCACATAGGGAGTGAACCAACAGATGGAGAACTTTCTCTGCCTTTGCCTCTAGTTTTCTATAACTCCACCCTTCAAGTAAATAAATAAACCTTAAGGGAAAGCGCACACACACACACACACACACACACACACACACACACCCCATGCTGTCCTAAAGAATCGTTTTTTGTTTCCCCTTTCTCAGACTCACCTCCTGGCAGAAAGGACCAGCGTGATCCCCAAAGCCCAGTCATCTCAGAGTGACAAAGAACGATCCTGCACAGCACCCTCACAGCACCCCTCCTTCTCCTGGGGAGCTCAGAGCAGCAGGCAGGCAGGCAGTGAGAAGCTCCGTTCCAGGACGGCCTTGCAGCAACAGACCAGACTCCCAGCCATCCCTGGACTACCAGGACCCAGCACTGTCACCCCAGGTATGCTCCATCTCAGAGGGCGTAACAGTGAATTTCATGTCCAAGGTCGGTTAAAAACATTGACAAACAGAAATATTAGAGGCGAGAAATGACCTAACAGGTTCATTTAAAACCACATTTCCCCCAAGCTAACAGGTTAAAAAGGGCAACTCAAACAATTCGTAACTAGCATTAACACTTAGAAAGTTCTGTTGTTCCTGGCCTTATATATTATGCCTTCTATAAATTATCTGTTCTTATCTTTTTAATATTCTCTTTCGAAAGATTCATTCATTTGAAAGGCAAAGGTTTGGGATGGGGGCCCAGAGAATCTTCCATCTGCTGAATCACTCCAGCCGCAATGGTCAGAGACTGGCTGAGGTGAGGCCAGGAGCCAG